AGCCACTTCCCAAATGAGGCATATAAATCCTCCAAAATAATAAACTTTTTCCTCGCACACAACTAAAATAAATAAACATTAATAGAAATAAATTAATCTCATAAGAATAACATTTTGAGAAAAGATGTCACCAAATCCACAAGGAAACTATGGTTCACAAGGCTACCTTGAAAGTGAAAATGCTCTGATATATGGGCACTAAATGGTGGCCCTTATGTTTTGTTGTGTTTTCAGGACTATTGACAGAAACAAAATTTGTAGTGGGAAGAGATTAATGTGCTTTATTTGTTTTGACGACCATCGTTCCACTTTTATTGAGATTGATGATCAGATCGGTCCTAATGAAAAACAATTGGATAGATTAGGGTATAATTTTCTTTTAAAATTCAAAATGTGCATTGAGATTTTCTTATTTTTAAAAGATGTGTACAAAGAATTTTTTTATATAATATTATGGGTGTTGTTGATGTCTATTATAGTCATTTTTATTTAACATATAATTGTCATTAAATTAATATTTCATTAAGTGTGTGCCTTGAATTAATTAGATGGGTGGAAATAGAATTTCCCGAGAATAATAGGTCAATAAGGACATGCTTCTATAAAATGACTAAACTATCCATATTTCTCCACACGCCTTTTTAAAGTTACTTCATTTTTCGTTTCGTATAAATTACAATTAGTGTGTTTGATTTCAGTTTTCTAAATTCAATTTTTTGAAAACTTCTTATTTTTCATGTTTTTTTTTGTTTTTGTTTTTAGTGAATATTTTTAAAATTTTAAACAACTCTTTTACTTTTTTAGATGCACCTTACTTAGATGTATCTAAATATAAAACTATTTAAAAAAATAATAATAAATATACAAAAATACAAAAAAAAAGTACTAAAATTTTATATTTTTTTGTATTTAGTGTACTTTTTTTAAAAAAAAATTCACAAACATTATACTTTTTAAGTGTATTTATGTCAGTTGTGTCTAAAACTTAAAAAAAATTTGCTTAAAATATTAAAAAAATCTTTGAAAATATTAAAATATGGAAAATAGAAAAGCATAATTTTATGAAAATTGTTTTCTGAAAACCAAAATTAAATAAGCTGGATGGGTTTCTCTGAACCATTTACTCTTTCATCTCTCTCTCTCTCTCATCAACCATCAACAATTTCTAAGCCTTCGTTTAGGATGTGGGTTGATTTTTTTTTTTTTTGTTTTTTTGCTATTTTAGTCTAGGTCTAAAAAATCTCGTTTGGAATGGGCTTTTTGGTTATTTTAACTTTTGTGAAAGAAAAAATGAAATGATTATAGTTTAGATGTGATATTTTGTCTTATTAGGCCCAAAAACCTATTTTGTCTTTTTGTGGCTAAAATAGCCCAAACCTAACCCAAACCTTCGTGCCAAGCAAATCCTAAACCAGTTATGGCGCTCTCTCTCTCTCTCTCTCACTCATATGGCTAACCTAATAACAGAGCTTTATATAACAACCATAGTAGATGTAACAACCCAGATTTTTTAATTATTCTGTAGAATTTATACTAATATTATTTAATCTTAGTTCGGAAAATATATAATTTATTATATATTATTATGTGTAATTTTGTAAAATAATATAATTATTAAAAGTTTAGGGGTCAAAATATAAATAATAATAATATAGATAATAATAATAATAATGAGTGTGGTATTAAAATAAATAATTAATTTTATGTTAGTATACGATAAAATGTAATTTACTTAAAAATTAAATTATTTATTTAATTATATTAAAATATTGGGTCAAAAGGTAATTATCTTAACTATTTATTTAGGATAAGATTGAATCTATATATATTTATGACAAATCTGGAGGGAGAGAGATGGCTCGGCCACATGTTGGCCGAGGAGTGGCGTCACCTCCCTATAAATAGGGAGAATGATCAATCCGGAGAAGAAAAAGAAAGGAAAGAAAGGAAAGAAGAAAAGAGAGGAGAGAAAGAAGGCAGAAATTGTGGAAGGTGAAAGGGTCTTTAACAATTGAAAGAAAGAGTAAGATATTAAAATTAAGGTGAGTTATGTTATACCTTGAGTCACCAAAATGTATTTTACGTATGTTTTAACTTACCAAAATCTATTTTATATAAGTTATGTTTTTAATAAAAGTTATGTTTTATAAAGGTTTTAGTTACGTGGTTTTATTTTTGAACCCTATTTGCTTAAAAAGATATATTTGTTTTACTTTTAAAGAATATTTGGCTATGACCTTATAAACAATTATGTTTTGTAAGTACCACCACGGGAGTCCCCATGCCTTGGGGGACTTAAATAACCATTGGCTTCTGTTTGACCACTTTGTGGTCCCCTGTCTGTCATGGATCCATTGACCTCTGTTCTGTGCAGAGCAAAGTATTACACTATTGTGGGAGCCACCTCTAGAATCCGTACGAGCAACCTCTTGATCCGTACCTCTGTTCTATGCGGACCAAAGTGTTGTGCGGAGCTAAGTGCTACACTATTGTGGGAGCCACCTTTAGAATCCGTACGAGCCACCTCTTGAATCCGTACCTCTGTTCTGACTGTCACTTCGTGACCTCTGCTCTGTTCTGTTCTGTTCTGTACCGTGGTTATGGTGATATATTTACATAATATCTATATTTCAGTTTCTCGCTACTTAAATGATTTCTACTACTCAAATGATTTGTTTATGTAAATGTTTTGGCTACATAACTATCTATGGTTATTTCGTGCCCTTATATTTTTGGTATAATATTTCTCACTCTGCCATGTGCTTATAGTTGTTTACCAATTTTCAGGAAACAATGCAATTCAGAATAGCTTTTGGAAAGTCTTAGATGCGGGACTGCGAAATAGACACACACAGTATTTTTTATTGATATTTTTCTATGTAAATATCGACCTTTTTGGTCAAATAATTCTGTAATAAAAATAGAAGCTCCAATAATTATTTTGGTACCTTTACTTAAATATTACTTCCGCTTGCGTTTATTTATTTGTTTAAGAATTGGCCGAGGTCACCTCAGTTACTGGCCATCACGATGCTTAACCCTTGGGTACAGAGAGTGGGTCGTGACAGTAGATCTGTTATTTATCTCTCTACCCCCTCTGAGTCTTTCACTGAGTCAACAAGGGCTTTATATCCAGCGAGTTAAACTCGGTATCTCGAACCCCAATGGTGATCTCTCCGACTAGAACATTTGCAACGACAACCTATAAATTTGTAGCGTTACACACGATAGCAGCACGGATTCAGTTAGCTTGGTTGACCTCACAAACACCGGCATTGTCCATCCATTCACCACTTTACGTTGTGTTTACTTGGGGGATTTGATAAGGGATTTAGAAAATAAAAGATAAAAGGTGTATGAAATTAGGTGAAATGTAAATATATTTTATTCACGTTTCATCTACCTTTTCCCTTTCTCTTTCCAAATATCTCCTTAAATCCCCAACTAAAAACAACGTTACTCTACCGTCTCTATTTTTCTTTTTCTTTTTCTTTTTTTTCTATCTCTCTCTCTCTCTAAGAAAGAACAATCTCAACTCATCTCCTCCTCTCAACATTTTCAACTGTCAGAACCTCGCTACTTTCAATCATTTGCAAAACATCTTTGAGAGTTCAACGATCTTGTTTTCCTTGTTTCCACTGCCAGATTTGCTGCGACAGAGGCATGAATCGCATATTTGCAAGGATTTCGGGGCAAATGACATTTTGGAGTTAGATCTAGTGGTTTATCTGGTGACAATTTTGTTGTTGTTATTGTTGTCGTTATCTCCTCGAATCTTTCACCCCAACCCAATCCAATTGGTTTCTATCTATCTCTCTCACCATCTCATTTATTACTGTTTGTTGTGCAGACCCAAATATAATATAAATGCCTCTCATTTTGCGCTCTCAAACCAAAATTTCACAAACAATAAAGATAAAATAAAAAAATATATATGATTGTGCCTCAGTTATGGTCTGTATAAATTTCAATAGATTTGAACATGTTGTAATTGAACAATCATTTTTTTCCCAATTAAATAGATAAACTCACATTTGTTTTGTGCATTTGGAAACACGGATCTGAACAGATTGCAAATTGAACAGATAAAACAAACGAATATGAACAGATAAGTAAAAAAAATTAAACAAATAATAAAAAATATGTTAAAATCAATACATAAGAAAATATTTAAACTAGTCAAAAAGTTTAAACAAATAAAAAAAATATTTAAACAAATAGTAAAAATAAATAAACAGATAAAAAAAAATTAACAAATAGATTAAGGGATAAAATTAAAAATATAATATCCTAAGAAATAATAAAGTGTACTTCTCACCACAATATTTTACAAAGAGGATACTTCTTATAAAGAAAAAATATTCATGAGATATAATACCTCACACTCTCCTTAAATTGGGCTTTCTAATAATTTTATCTTTTTGTTTTTATGAAACTAAAAATGTAGGCTCTGTTTGGTTGTGAACTGAAATCAATTTTCAACACGTGGGCTCGCGTATGACGTTTGGATACGATGTTCAAAAATTGATTCCGCGTGTTAATTCAAATTACATTTTGAAAATCTGTTTGGTAGCAAATATCTCCCTTTCAACGTTTCTGCCTTCTTCATCATCTCCCAACTTTCACGTGAACCTCATCTACACCTGTCCTTCATATTCATCACGGGTGGCTTCTCTGTGTTCAGATTCATCACGGATGAGTTTCAGAGAGTTTCAGAAGTCAGACTCATTTTATAAATAATGAATCTACCAAACCTGCTCCGTACTCGTATCATATTTCACAAATCAACTAAGTTACGATTTGTGCGTTGCGGACGATTCTCATTACGGGCAACCAAACAACGACGACTGCGAGGTGAAATTACTCACAAAATTATTTACATATTTTGTTATAGGAAAATTATTTGAGAAATTCATTCTAATTTTTTTTTTCAGGTCAAATTTATCAAATTTATTGTCGAATTCGACGAGCAAACAGTGGCGCGTTCAATCAGAATACACATTCCATCACCGGCGATAATTATTCAACTCCCACTAATCTGGTAAATAAATCCTGCATCCTTCATCTGTTATCTGAAAATGATTTCAAACAAGTCGATTAACTGTTTCAACTTTTTGTTCTTCAAGAATAGTGTAAATCATTCATCTGTTATGTATAAATGAATTCGGAGAAGTTGAAATCAGTTCGTAAATGGTTTATCAGAATTTGGTATGTCGTATTTTCCATTTCAGATCGGTTGTTATTTGAAATTATGAACGGTTTGAACCTTTCTTCTATCAAAGGCATAGTGGCAGTGCCTGGGACACCCGGCCGGTCATCTCCCAGGTCATCCGGCCGGTCGACCACCCGGTCTTCCCACCTCTCTTCCGGTTTTGTCTTCCATTTTCCATTCCTGAATGGTTTGAACCACCGGTCCTCCCTGAACTGTTTGAACCCACCGCTTTTTTACTATTTTTTTTTCCTTAATTTCAATTAACAACCAATACTGATTTGTTTGGAATTCAAATCAATATAACACAATGTTAAACACATTGTTAAACATTGAATGTTAACTGAATTTTTTTTGTAAAACATTGTTAACTGAATGTTAACATTGTGTTTTTTTTAATTCAGATTTTTTTTTTACATTGTTAACAACCAATACTAATTTTTTTTTATCTGATTGTTAATTAAAAAAAATTACTGATTTCTTTCCTACTATTTAAACACAATGTTAACTGAATTTTGAGGCTTTGAGAGCAAAGACACCCCAATGTTAACTGAATTTTGAGGCTTTGAGAGCAAAGACACCCCTAGCGCTGGCACACACGGTTAAAATCAGGGATAACTACTGTTACATTACCATTTAGACATATATATGTCTATATTTATTTATTTATATGGTAAATAAGACTTATAGAAAACATAGTAAAGTTTTTAATTTTTATAGCATTTCATTTTTTATTAATAATTTATCATTCATATGAATATGAATTAAAAAAAAATAATAATGTTATCTTTTTTACATTAAAATATTTTTTATTTTGATCTTATTAAAAGATAAGTCAATATACTTATGTTAAAATTAATTATATTTTTTCATAATTTTTCAACAGATTAGAATATTTGTGTATGTATTTTAATTTTTTATTATTTTGAGTCATATTTTAATTTATAGAAATAAATAAATAAAATATTCATACCATACTTTTTTTTTGATCGAGTTCATACGATACTTTACTCGCCTTTTCTTTCTATTGGCTGAAATTACATTTTGTAGAATTAAAAAAAAAAAAGGTTTAGCGAAATTTTTTTTATGCAAAACTTTTTTTGATAAAACAAAAAAATGTTTTTTCCATGACTTTATAAAAGTCGAATTTTTTTTTATTTGTGGTTATATTTCTGCTATTTAAATTCAATTAATCTGCTACGTACTTTTTTCCTTGAAATAAAATAATCTGTTCTTTTTCCTTTATCTGTGTTCTCCTTCAAATCATTTTGCACTGTTATTGTTGTATATCCATTGCAGTGTTCTTTAAAACACTTCTGTTCTGCTTGTATATTCATCCCAAACTAGTTTAAATATAATTTGTACATTTATAGATGGATGGAAATAATTCCGATGACAATGAGAACACCAAAATGTGGACGCCCAGAATTGAAACGAAATTAATAAATATGTTGAGAGATGAGGTTAGAAACAATCAAACAACGGGCCGTACTACTTCGTGGACAATTAGGCATTGGAATCATTATGCAAATCAGTTGCACAACATATATGGATTTCGGTATACAGGTGTTAAGGTGCGCCAAAAATATCAGCGCTTGAAAGCTGATTACCAGACATTCAAGCGACTCCAGGCACAGACTGGTCTGGGATGGGATCCTATTATAGGCACTGTTGTTGCACCCGATGAATTTTGGGATAAGGTTTTCCGTTAATCTGTACTATTTTCTAATTTTATTTTAAATGTTTCATGATATATACAATGTTTAATTTTTGTTTTGTACTTGTTGTAGGCTAGCAGAAATGTGAAGAAGTTTAGGACAAAAGGGTTTGAATATTTTCAGGAAATGGCAGAGATTGTTGAAAATTGTTGTGCTACAGGGGCCCTGTCTCGTGCATCCACACAAGGACCCATTGACTCAGAAGAAGAAGACGACATGTTAAATAAATTTTGGAACGCTGATGTTGATGGGAGTAACGCTGGTGGGAGTAATGCTGCTGAGGCCATTCCTGTTGACTTATTCCGGGATGAGTATATAGATCCAGCAAAGGGCAAAAGTCACAAGAGGGGCCCTGCAACTAGGCAGACTGACAGTGGTCGTTCTAAAAAGTCACGGTCAAGTGGGTTTGATGATGTGTGTGCAGCTTTCACATCCTATGTACAAGCCAAAACAGGACATTCACGTGCACGAGAAAATGAGACTGAGGCTGTAAGTGCATGTGGTGATGATTATTCCCTTGATGCATGTCAAGATGCATTGCTTGAGCTTGGGGACATACCATCGTTGCAGTACGTTAGCGCACTGACACAGTTCAAGGATAAGGAATGGCGAAGGTTTTTCATGCGCACTCCTACCCATTTGCGCCTAGCCATGATCCTCGCTTTGCAGTGAACTGAGACGTTCTGTTTTGCTTGTGTTAGCAAATCTTCTTGGCTGAACTGTTTGATCATTTCATTATTCCTGATTTGGTTTTAATTCTTATTTTTTTCATTCCATCATATCCTCTTTCCTTTTCTATGTTCATATGTTTTTTTTTTTTTTTTAACTTTTAAGTGTTTTCTGTTATATTAAAACTATGGAAGTTATTATAATATGACCATGTGTTAAATAAATTTTGTTATCCTCTGAATTTTACAGTTTCACCAATAGCGCTAACTGTTACTGCATGAATAACATATTTTATAATTATGCTTTTACTGTGATGTAGACAAAGGCATATGTCATCCGACAGAGAAAACAATACAATGGAGCTCTCATCAGAGGATGATGAGGTTGTTGATGATTTTATAGATTGCTTGATAATTGCTGTAATGCATGACCATATGAACGCGTCAAGTAGTCGCCGACCGCAGCGAGCGTGTCCATTCAGAGGTGTTGATTACATCATCGGCCTATTAAATGGCCATCCAGAAACAATGATGAACGTTATGCGAATGGATGCACAAACATTCATTTTATTGAAAGACACTTTACTCCATAATGGTTTTATCGATACTGAACATATGCATATAAGTGTGGAGGAATCGCTTGGAATTTTTTTATACACTTTTGCACAAAATGATCGCCATCGAATAATGGCAGATAGATTTCAACACTCAACGGAAACAATTTTTCGGCACATAAAAATTGTTATGCGTGCATTGTGCAATCTTTCATCATCGGTTATCAAACCACGTAACCTAGAGGACATCCCGGGAAAAATTTTAAATGACAGGCGATTTTTTCCCTGGTTCAAGGTACGAATAGTGTGACTGTCTTGTAAATTTGTTCATATCCATAAGGGTTAATAAATATTATTATTTTTTAATTATGAAAGTAAAATCAATCAGTTTGTTTCGCTTTTAATATCAAAGTCTGATATCTGTCAATTAGGATTGTGTCGGTGCTATCGATGGCACATTGGTGGATGCATGGGTCCCTGCTTCAAGACAACATACATTCTACGGTCGGAAAGCAACGGTATCGCAAAATGTACTTGCAGCTTGCAACTTCGATATGTTGTTCACATTTATTAATTCTGGATGGGAAGGTAGCGCTCACGACAACGCTATTCTGGTTGACTCTATTACATGAGCTGATCTACAGTTCCCACACCCACCCAATGGTGACTGTCCCTGAACAACATACTGTACACTTTTTTCCTTGTCTGTTTTTATACATATCAATTGACAGAACTGTGTATTCATTATTTACATGTAGGCAAGTACTATTTAGTTGATGCTGGTTTCACGAACATGCCTGGATTTCTTGCTCCATTTCGGTCTCAACGATATCACTTGCAAGAGTTTCGTGGCCATCATTATGCAGGACCTAAGGAATTGTTTAACCATCGACATTCGTCATTACGCAACGTCATAGAAAGAACACTTGGTGTTTTGAATAAGCGCTTCCCAATATTGCGGTCCATGCCAAATTATAAGTCTACACGACAAGGGCCTCTCGTGATTGCATGTAGTATAGTGCACAATTGGATCCGTTTGCATACAGTTATGGATCCGTTCTTTATGGAAGCTGATAATGAAATAGCCGCAGAAGCAGAAGCAGACGGGCTTCTTGGAGACCAACCTGACTACGTTGACATGTCACAACATGGGTTAACGTCCCAATCGAACGTTAGGGATGTAATTGCTACTGCTATGTGGCAAAATCATGTTCACCATGGGCACTGAAAATAATGGTTTTCTTAGTACATGTGTACTTAAATATGTTGTTCATGCAATGTGTAATATGCAAATTTATGTATAGTCTACCAAAGACAATTAAATATGTTGTTATTAATATGCAATGTGTTTCTTAATAACTTTCAGAAATAAATATGTTGTCATTAAATTAAATGTGGTGGTGGGTGGTGGGTAGTGGGTGGTGGTGGCAGATGGGTGGTGGGTGGTGATGGGTGGTGCTGGCAGGTGGGTGGTTGGTGGTGGTAGGTGGTGGTGGTGATAAGTTCACCATTTAAAAGTGTAACAAATAACGAATAATAATAAGAATAATAATAATAATAAATTAAATAACATAAAATAATTATTATATTTTACTTTTTTATATCCCCCGATATAAAAAAGAATGTTTATTATTAAATATTTGTTTTTTTAGTACACTTATTTATTATTAAATTATAAGTTGTTGTATTTAATTTCAGAACATTAATTTCATTTTTTCTATTAATTGATGCACACAAATTATTTAATAATTGTGTAATTTTTATTTTTTTTATTGAAATGAAGGTTTTCATAGACATGTATGACGTACTATTTATTAACATTATGACTGTGTAATTAAATGCTTTCAAAAAAAACCCCTCGTTCTTATTCATTACGTGAATAGAAAAGTTTATAACAAAATAATAAAAGTAAAACAATCACAACAAAACTCACCAAATAAATAAGCAAAACAAAAATAAGGGAAAAAAATATAACAACCGTATGATTTTTAAACAAGTTAAGCATCCTTATTAGGTGGTGTTGGAGGTGGAGGGAAATGCTGATGGTACAGCTGAGTGACTCGATGGTCAATCAAATCAATGCGGTTCCTTGTCAGTTCAGCACGTCTCTCGGAGTCTACGCGGAACTCACCAAATTGATGAATTAGTGAGTTCTGAGCGGTGGCAATTTCATCGAATCGAGTACCAAATTCATCAAACTGAGTACCCAGTGTATTGAGCTGATTAGCCATTTGTTGTTCCCATTGTAGGCGCTGATTGTACCGTTCTTGTTTCAAGGCTAAATAATCTGTCTAGTAATGGGGTTGTTCATTTGGTGGCATGGCATTGTCATTGGGTTCTTCCTCATCAGATATTGGTTCATTTTGAAGATTAAGAGAGCCCATCAACGTGTCAGAACCACCAGCTCGAGCCAGTGTATATTCAGAAATTGGTGAAGTGATTCTGATCCATACTTCATCTTCAAGGTTCACATCATGGGCTTTGAAAATTATGGTTAGCAAAGCTCCAAAAGGTAGGGACCGGCCACTCAGAGTATCCAATTTTGCAACCATCATTTCTTTTAGTAATATAAAGCATAAATCTAATTTTTGTCCAATTTCAAAACAATATAACAAGTAAACTTGAAAACATGAAACAGTATTATAATGTCCTTTTTTGGGGGTGACATTTTCAACTATCCATCGATGGAGAATACGAATGTGAGGTTTTAAATGGCTGACTTTTAAATTAGTGCCGCTAAATCGATTGTCACAAATTGTGGTATAAATCTAAGTGACATCATCAACAATTTTTTCTAAGGTAGACTCATTTTGAAAATAACATTGTAAATCTCCTGTTTCGACTCCAATAATTTCTGCAAAACGACGCAGAGAGAGTGTGATTCTTTTCCCCTTAACATAAGAGGTAAGACTCCACGGTTCATTTTGTTGGTCACCCGCTGTCAAGTGAACATAAAATAATTGTACAAGACGGGGATATATCTTACTTGGTAAATTATTTAATGGTAACCATCCCATTGTATCTAATTTGCCAAGTAAGAGTGAATCATATTGAGAAGGTAGTTTTACGTTTCTCCCCGTAACAATTGGTCGACGAATGAAATGTTCATAGGCTTGTTCATAATGATATGTTGCAAAATCATTAGTTGGATAGCCATCATCTTGTTGCTGTGGTGGTGGTACAGGGTTTGACGATTCACCAAGTTCGGGTCTGGTTCGTTTTGTTCTTGGCATGATTGTTCTTGGCATGATGACTGTAAAAGTGAAAGAAAAATGCATATTAAAATATACGAGAGGTAAGAAAAATGTATGAAAAATATATCAAACATTAGTATCTTTTTATGCATACAAACTTATTTTTATGACAAAAATAAATATAAAAAAATTTGGTGACAAAATTTAATTAGGTAGATTCCAAATAAACAGATTTGTTTAAAAAAAAAATCATAGGGAATAATATTTGTCATTGGGGTTTGATTCATAGAGTTTATTAGAACTTAGAAACTGATAATTAGAAAAATAAATGATAGTGCGAAAAAATTATAACAGATATCAGAAAATATAACAAATGAAAATGGAACAGATTTATGAAAATGGAACAGAAATGAAAAGTGACTGGGCCGGGATGACCGGGCGGAAGTCCCACGGGATGACCGCCCGGTAGACCGGCGGGATGACTGGCCGGTCGTCCTCCCCTTCCCCTTCAGTGAAGCTAATTTCTGAAGCTCATGTTTGAACCAAATATGAAGATGAACTGGCATCAAAATCTCACCTGTAAATTATGGAAGTGGAGAAGGAGGACCTAACCAGATGGTGGATATCTTCTATTTGTCTAATTTAATTCTGTGATGTAACTGAAAAAGGTGCTTCCGAGAAGGTGAAGTTGGTGCGGTAAATAGAATGAGATTCAGATTTAATAGGAAGGGTGAGGTTCAGAAGGGTGAGGTTCATATAATTGTAAGAATTTTTTTTTTTTTACTTTTTATTTGTTAAATATAATATTATTACTTTTTTCAAATTAATATCACATGCGTCCTCTGCTTTTTCTTTCCCTCACTGTTAGAGCACAGCTATTATATAATAGGGAGTAGGTATTAAGTAAGTGAAATTACGATCTTACCCTTTGTATTTTGTTTTATATCATCACTTCTCATTTAAGTCCAGAGGGGCATAATGGTCATTTTGTATGTCAATTCCTACAATTATATGAGCTCTTCGTGGACAATAATAGAGTGCATTTATGTTACACATCTGTACTAAATTACAAAAAATGTAATAAATGAAAAATAAATTGATAATGTTTTGTAAGATTTATATTATGATTTGTATTTTAAAATATGAAAGTTAGTATATTTATCCCTTCTTTATTAATATGTATTTTCAAAAGTTGTTGACTTTAACAAAATGTTAGAAAAAAATTAAAAACGTATTTTATAAATGAATTGATAGAAAAATTAATTGGCAGAAAAAATTGACATCGGTTTATTTTAAAATGAAAAAATTATTTCGAAATCACAATTATTCAAAAAAATTACTAAAAAAAAATAATTGACAAAAAAATCAATGTTTAATTTCAGTATTTTAAAAATAGTTTGGTTATTATTGTTGATTAAAAATATAGATATCGATATCGATATATGAGTTGTGTGTTTGATGATAAATTATTAGTTGAATTAAGTTTTGAAAATTACTTTCAAAACACATCACCAAACAAATTTTCACCTTTCACATGTCACATCAAACTTCCAAAACATAATTTAAAATACATCTTCAAAACACAATTCAAAACTCTATTTAAAAATCATAACCAAACAAATTTTCTACATTCAAATCATAATTCTACAACCCATAAACTCAAAATACAATTCATACTCTCAAATCACATTTACAAAACACAACCAAACGCAGGCGTAATTTTTTGTGTGAAGGTTTAGATAAAGCATGTAATTCATCCAGACTTTTTATTTATTTATTTAAAATATAAATTAGAAACGGCCATAAATTCACATTTTTGTAGAAGTTCATGCATCTCTAACCTTAGTTGGAGCCCATAACAAAGGTTTGGATACCACTAAAATAAGCTATTTATTCATTTATTATTATTATTATTTTTTTTGCATATTATATATTTATTTTTTTTTTTAAAAACATATCCAAAGATCTATATTAGATTGGTGAAAACTTTTGGTTATTTTTTTATATTATAATATATATATTTTTTAATTTTTCCATCGATTAATCAGCGTTAAGTCAATTAACATAAAATTATTGAAGTACCAATTTTGTCATCGTAGAACACAATCACTACATTACCAAAATAACTATTCAATTCATATGAGAAACTTTGCGGCACCTCCCAATTTTGAGGCTTGGTTTGGGTATACAATGGCCCTGTTTGGTTTTTTTTTTTTCGAAGTTAAAATCTGATAATTAGAAAGTATAAGTTATATTTATTTTTTAACCTTTAAATAATCAGTATTTTTTAACTTATTTGTACCAAACAGCCTGATACAAACTTTCAAATTAAATTAAACTATAATCATCTCTTATAATCTATACCAAATGTCAGTGGTGGAGCCAGAAAAATAGTTTAGAAGGGACACTTATTAATTAAAATTTTGAAATTTCTTTCCTCATAATCAATAACAATAAACAATAATTAAAATAATAGTGAAATATCTTAAATATGTAATATAAAATTTTTAAATTTTTTGTTTTTACAATTGACCTTGTGAAAAATTAGAATTTGAAATATATCATGTTACTTGTAACTAGTGTATTATAGGCAATGCAAAAGAGTATTGTATGTCATATAATGGATTATTTAATAATATATAAATAATAGTGATACCACATTATCATCGATATATGATATCACTAATCAATAGTAAAATAACGCATTGAAGGTCAATCACACTTGTTAAATATAATTAAAATTCAATAATTTATCATTTTCGTAGTGGGGTTAACTATGTTTACATGTAAGTGATGATTTTATATCACAGTTGCACTCAATTTTTTTAATAATGTGGTTTGTTGTAATTTTTTTATTTGCAATCAAAACAACTATCATTATTTTCGTAATTTGAAAAATGTCATTAAAAAATCATTCTAAAAGTTATTTCTATATAATTTTTTTATTGGTTAATTATTTTGCTTACATGCACACAAAAAAAAAAAAAAAAAAAAAAAAAAAATGCAACACCTAAGAGAGGGCACGTGCCCCCTA